AAGATATTACGCAGTACTCGTTCCCTCTCTAGAGAGAACCGAGGTTACGTTAGTAACCGAGTATGTTTTGCACTGAGGAAAAAAACATGTCTCAAACGCATAAAACAGCACAAAATGCTGTTTGATGGTGGATGGATTTGATCCATGATCGACCTCTAGGGCTGCTTAAGGCTATGTTTACACGGAAACGATCTGAAGAGAAAACGCAAAAGTGGCGTTGCGTTATCACTTTTTATTCTGCATTTAGACGAGCGTTATGGTTGGGAAATCCGCGTGCATATGGTGACGCAAAAGTGTGTGAAATTCGATGTAGTATGCACTCCAGGCGGCTAGGTGGCAATGTGAAGCACTGCCACACAACAACACCAATATCTTAGAATATTTTGTACAACTGCTGAAAAGACTCTTGTATGTTTTTCAGAGCTGCTAGGGCAACTTGAAGGTCTGACGTATGGAAATAATCTGACATGTTGGTTGTTATTTTCCTGTACTGGCGCATGCATGTGACGTAAACACGTACGCGACCCACCGTGAGCAGATTTGCGTTTTTACCGTTTAGACGGGAACGCGACGGTGGAGCGTTTTTTAAGATTTGGTGGTTTCACTTTTTTGCGTTTTTAAGCCCCCAAAACGCCGTTGCCGTGTAAACGAAAGGCACATCCGATAAAATATTTTTACGTTTTCACCCGGAATCGTTCTTGTGTAAATGGGGCCTAAGAAATGCGTGCACACGCAATTATCTAGACTAGATAAACCTGGATCAAATTAGTGGGATTGCGTGAACTTAAATTACCTTTTATGAAACCGCTTTTGACCCAATTTATTTATTCAAGTCAGGTGTTAATCCCCCCTTTTCTTAGCGTCTTTTATAAAACAGCCCTCTGGTCATAGGTCAAAAACAAACAATAGTGGTGGGCAGATGAGGCTTCGTGAAACAATGAAACAGTTGAAGCAAATGTGCCATATTGTGTCGAGGCTTCGAAACAATCCGACACCCGTCTCAACGGTGACACCTAGTGGTCACTTGCAGGTGTTGATCTGAAACAACCTTGACAACGAGCCATTAAAAAATTTGTTGTTTTTTTATTATTGTATTTTTCTAATATGTGAAGCTTGTAACCTGTGCTCCTCACTGTGCATAATGTTATTTTGGTCATAAAAAAATAATATTAATAAAAGAAATCAAGCCACAATGTCTCACTTTTTTAATAGATTTTTATTCAAAAATATTAATTTCTCTGCTGTCGAATGACTTAGCCTACTTCTTTTTTTTACAGATAATTCCTCTCACAAGGGACACTTGTTGCTGGCATGAAAAGATATTTTTGATCCATAAATCTATTAGGAAAACCCAAATGATGTCTTGGCTGTAGATTGGGTACTCATATGTAGACCTATAAAATGTATATTCTCAAAATATTATATTATTTTGACAACATATTATATTATATTCACAGTGAAGCTATTTTTAACATGATTGGGACGTTAGGTTGTAGGGCTTAGGTTGACACAGGCCTTTGAACTTTCTAAACAGTGTCCCAACAGTTTGTTATTATATTTCAATTATAATTATATTTCAAACAATGCATACCTTGCTTAGATGGCCCAGCAGTGTCAGTAGCAGACCTAGGTACAGGGGGAATGCTACCATCATCTGCACCCTGCAAAATGGCAGGATGAGTGCTCCTCAAATGGCGCATCATGGATGATGTATTGTTGCAGTAGGCTAGCTGCCGATCACAATATCTCACTTTATTTGGGGTTTCCAAATGGAAATGCTCCCACACCACAGATGTACGGCATGTCTTCTGTGCAGCCTCCATTTTTATCTATCTATGCATCTATATATGCTGTGTATCTATATATATATATGTGTGTATCCATATATCTGTGTATCCATATATGTGTGTATATCCATGTGTGTATCCATCTATTAATCTATCTGTCTATATTTATATCTATGCATCTATTATGTACTCTGTACTCTGTCTGTCTCTAGCCTATCAGTCAATGTGTAAATTTAAATGTAAGCCTAAATATAAACAAATTGCACAATAAATGTCACTATATCACCAAAAATCCGCTATCTCAAAATCAAACTCCTCTCACAAAAAAACCCACGAGGTCAAGATTCGTTGACTTCACTTTTTTACAGATGTGCGATTGTGTGGTCTGTTCCCGGACCTGTCAATCAAACGCCGATTCGGCGGACTATGCCACCTGTCGAAACACTTGTGAAACACTTCGAAGCTTCATTTAGCCGTAGTCACGTGACATGGGTGTTTTGAATCACGCTTCGGATCAGTGGCCCTGTCCCAAATGGCACACTCCGGACTTGTGGACTTCCTCAGAGTCCACACTTCGGTGACGTCATGTAGTGCAGACCTACAGGGCCCTTAGCGCGAGTCCGCGAGGGCGCATTGAGAGGTATTTTTGGGACAGACTCGATCATCACGCCGGAAACAGGAAGACGGTCTGATTGTTGTTATGAACAGGAGCTACAGGTTCGGGGAAATATGCTGCCTATTGTTGTTGTGTTTACATATGACTCAGTAAAGCCCTGACATTCTGTTCTATTTATTTAATGAATCATAATGCGATCGTATTATTCAGCTCGCTATTATAAGCCTATGTTTGAGACATCAACCACTGGTCGATGATCATAATGTTTGTATAAACTTGTCATAAAAACCGTAATGATAATTACACTTAAATATTTTCTTCTCAGCCATGTTAACAATTGTCCGTGAGCGAAATCTCCTCCCATCCGTTGTCTGATTGGCCTTTCGCAAGGATTCCTGGGTAGTTAAAGTGCGTGGAGCCTGCATCTATGCGGGCTTCGCGGAAGACCGCTTCAAGGGTACAAAGGGGGCGCTGCTGAGCACACTTCAGAGCGTTAAAATGCTAAATGGGACGGCCTACGGACTCGTAGACTCGGCGAGCACGCGCAATTTAAGTCCACGAGACCGAAAGTCCGCATGAAGTGCACCATTTGGGACAGGGCCAGTGTTTCGAAACATCTGCGTTTCGGGATCTGGAAAAGCTTCGGAACGTCCGTTTCGCGTCAGCCATCCCTAACAAACAAACATACAAGTCCTGACAGCCTTACAGCCAACCAGATCAAGCTGTGTTTTGAGCATGGTGATCAGATCAACTATGTCTTCACCAGCTTAAAGGTACAATATGTAGGATTTTTCGCCACCAGGGGCCACTAACCTCTTACAATAACAAAGGCGTATATCGATGACGGTTAAGCGGAATTATGGATCTTGTCGTCAAGTTGATGGATCTTTTATGGATGAATGAATACATTGATGTTTTTAACATGACTGTGGTACGAAGCAGGGTGCGATTGCTAATGAGAGACGTATACCAGCCCCACACGAGAGTCCCGTGGATATAAAGAAATAAGGACATTTTATTCTACCGAACTACCCGCAAGTGCTGAATTAATACTCACACAGGTCAGTTTATTAGACAAATGAAACTTGTGAGGTAACGCAGCGCTGTTTCACGAACAGTTACACTATCACACTAAACGGCATTTGAGTGTGTTGAATGTTATTCTGTGTTAGTTTGTTGGCTGTATGAGACTAGCAGTAAGCTAGATCAACATTAGAATAACATACAGATCATATTCTAACATTTCATCATGTTGAACTAAATAACATTAATTAGTTTTATGTACATTTGCTCACCTGTCTAATAAAGTATGCAGCACTTGCGTCTCTGTCAAGTTGAAGTTAGTCGCGGACGTGGATCTCTCGGCATGTCGAAAGATGTTGATCTTCGTTTTAGTCCTCTTTTTGTCTCAAAGTCTGCTTGCCATGGTCCATAATGTTTGAACAAAACAACAACAGCATGTGCGTCCTACTACTAGGCATAACCCAGTTGTCCATGTCTATCGTCATGGTTACTATGGCAGTACGAGCGGAACCGAGGGTAACGCGGATATGACGCCGTTGACTGGCGACTCCTCACCCCTGCTCACACGCCCCGTTTCCTTGGTTAAAATCGCAATTTTCTCACGATTTACAAATAGTTTGAAACATTTGGGATATTGTTAGTAATCAACTAAACAAAATATATAACATTGGCCTAGTGGTTTTTGGATATTTTACTGTGAAAATCCTACATATTGTACCTTTAACCAAGGTGGTCTATGAACCCTAGGTGAGTTTCCCAAAAACATAAATGGTCTCAAGTGCCGCTGAATTGTGTTGTAACGTCGGAACTTGCAGGCTATGTTGACTGAGAAACGCACCCCAGGTTGACCTTGGCCATGTAAAACCAATCCATTGAAATTTATGAGAATCATTTAACACATACACATAGGCCCGCCTCTTTTCACTTTATATGCTGCCATTGGGTGCCATTTTTGAGAAACCTATACATGCATGAATATATGGGGAAATGGTGTTTATAAAAGCGCTGATTGTTTCAAGGGAAGGAATTGAGAGATTATCCTTGTTTGGCTGGTGATGAGTCATTTGGTTTGCGTGAAATTTGAACTCAACATAGGCCTACTGAACAGACTCATAACAAATACAACTTTATCTGACCAGCAGATGGAGCCATAACACATTGTTTTTCAATGCAGGACGCGCTGTACCTGCTCACAGTGAATACTTTTGTCATAAATTAACATGTGAGGTTGTCAAGAAACATACCCTATAACGTGCTATCAGTCTCATTAAAAAAAAATATATATATTATTGCTTCTGTAATTGTGTAAAAGTAACATCATACATAATATCAGTCCTTGTATTTTATTAAGAACTGCATACTACTCGTAATACGTCTTTTACCATATATTTCTATGACATAAATAGTAGAGGACTAGTATGTGGATCCGAACTAAGCATTGAAGTTCATTCGGCCTGTTTCCTGATGACGTCACTGCTCTGCTCTTTAATTTGACTACAGTCCGAGTTTCACTTCAGTAGTGGCGCGTGGTGGGTCAGTCGCTTTTCTCCTTTATATGATTTGTTATAACAAACTGAAATCTGCTGTGGAAAGCGAGTTGAACTTTTAGACTTTGTGACCACGGATGAACCATGGCTACAATAACGTGTCGAGTGCAATATCTGGAGGATTCAGACCCATTTGTGTGCACAAATTTCCCCGAGCCCCGCAGACCTCCGCAGTATGACTTGAACGAGCATTTGCCGTTGAACGAACAGATCGCCGGTGTTCACAAACTGCTCGAAGCGCCTTTGAAGGTCAGTGAATCTCATTCGCCTCATAAAGGGGTGCTGCTGCTTACCTGCGCCGAATGCCTGATAAGTGTCAGCGTAAGTTGCCTATTTTAGGCATCAAAGCTCTGTGTAACGCCAAACTAATGTAATGTGGTTAATGTTTGTATTCATAATCATTTGGAAATGGCTCGGTTCATTATATGAATGAATAGTCCATAGATCAACCCCCTGGTACTGTGTGAGAGTTTATGGTGTAATAGTGGGAGGGGGGTCGGAGTGCACACACATCTAAATGCTTTTGAGGAAAAATGCTGTTCGTCAACATTAGGAGGTCAAACTAAATATGAGAAGAAGAAAAAAGTTGTGGAACACCAAAGTGTTCATTCATGGAATATGCCCATATTGTACAATGTTTCAATGGTCATTCAATTGTCAATGTCCTCATCTAAGGACATTTCTAGGTTAGGTGACTCCTCATTCACATGCCTTATTCAAGATATTGCCTTATACAACTTTTTAACCATTACTAGTAGGAAAGCAGAACAGTGACAGTGTGTATCGTTAAAATAGTGTACAAAATAGATCCATTCTGATTCAATGCACATTAAACCACTTCACAGAGATCTGTTTCCAAGGGGCGTTTCCTCCGAGGAGGCAAGGGAGGCAGTCTCTCCTAAAAAAAACTGGATGAGAAAAGAATCGGTATCCTATTACAACTAAAACAACGCAAATATTACAGAATGTGACATTAAAAAGTGTAAAAGTCATTATTTTTTCTAAAGTAACACTGTCCAACAGTGACACCCGCTGGTAAAGTTAGAGCGGTACACCACGTCTTGCTTCCCCTGAGCCCATTGAGTTTTAACCATAGACAGTAAAAGAAATGGACAGAGCGATCTCATTGGAACTCAGTTGAGACAGTTGAAGCCCACTTTTAGCGATTTTTGAGAACTTCCGTTCCTGACGCGCAGACTCAGACCGACTCAAACTGAGCTTGATGACGTGAGCAACCTGTCTGACAGACGTGAATCTTCTAGTAGCTGTGCGTGAAAATTGCCAACGTTAATCTTGCAGAGACGGGGAACTTGAGCAAAGAGTCCTTTATCGTGAGTGAGCAGGAGTAAGTATTCCGTTTCTTTTATGGACTCATTATCTATGGGCTTCTCTCTTGACGGGACGTCCCCCCGATTGCCTGCGAGCTTCTCCTCCTGTCTGTAAGGTAATTTCTGTACAGCGCGACAGAGAGTCGAGTGGTTATGACGCAATTGTTAGCCTATTTTTACTAAAACTGTTTCTACGGGGCCATAATGTAACATAGAAGGTAATGGAGCCATTTATACATTGTCGTGTTTCTTTAGAAATAAATAATGGACAAATGGAGTCTTTAAACGCCTCTGATGTAAAGTTATTCGCTGTCAAAGTGACGCCAAAATGAATGGTAGTCAATGGAAATGCTAACGCAAGTGAAGTTCTGCTACAAGATGGCGGTACCCGGCCGGCTTCAACTTCCGGTCGATGGATTACCCCCTTGGTTTTAACAGGGGGTAATTGAGAATGAATGGGGGGAAAGTGACGTAAAGGGAGGCAATGCCTCCATCACGCTGTGATCGGATATGATCGGTTATGATTGGTAAATCCCGCCTCTTGTATTCATGCTCATTCACAAATCGGCCTGAATGAACATGATGATGGGAAGACTTATTAAAAAAATAAGTAAACAATTCATCCACTTAGGTATTAGATAGAAATGGCCCGAACACATGATATATTAGTGAATGTAAGTAACTCTTTGAGAGAGTCTCCAATGCTTGAGCTCCAGAAATGCCTGCAGCTGGAAAGTGAGTTGATACTTGCGGAAAGGGTGGGACCTGTAAACAGAAGATAAGCTCAGCTCCTCAATCAGCCCATTATTACAGCACAGCTTCAGATGTGACTGCATCAAACACTACCATATGAGAACAATAACTTCTCTTTTACAGTAGCTGACTGATAATGATGGCTGATTGTTGTGAACGAGTGCATTTTCATACGCATAAATGTAAATGTATTTCCAGGTTTACATGTTTGAGATTTGGATTTTCACTTATTTTGTACTTGTGGTGTAGTTTGTAACTTGTCAGATCAAAATATGTGAAAAAGGACTCATCCTCCAGATGCACATTCAAAAAGCATGAGTCTAATTTGAAGCAGCCATCTGTTTACGTGTTGTCATTAAACCATGTTAGGCAGTGATGTTCCTCTCTCTCTCTCTCTCTCTCTCTCTCTCTCTCTCTCTCTCAATTCAATTTTTTTTTTCAATTCAAAGGGGCTTTATTGGCATGAAAGTTTTTGAAACAATGTTGCCAAAGCATATACAAAATATACAAATAAAATATATAATATATATATTATATATAAACATCTCTCTCTCTCTCTCTCTCTCTCTCTCTCTCTCTCTCTCTCTCTCTCTCTCTCTCTCTCTCTCTCTCTCTCTCTCTCTCTCTCTCTCTCTCTCTCTCTCAGTTAGAGGAGTGTGCACTGCAACTGGCTTCTAATGGCAACTATCTGGATCTGGATTCATCATTTGCTGAACAGAGAGATGATCTGGAGCAGCTCTATGAAGATGTGGAGTAAGAATGACTTAACATTTTGCCATCCAATCATCTTTCTCTCTTACTTTTTCTCTCTTACTTAGTTTGACTTTTCCCAGAGATGGAAACTTGCATAAATAAATAAATAAAAAATAACCTGAGACTTATCTTGCCTGCAGCCTGACTTGCCTTCAACTTCAAAAAAAGAGTCTTTTTGTCTTCAAAAACATTTTCTCAAAATATTGTTTAGATAAAAGGGAGCCTGTCATTCACTCACATATGAAATAAAAAAACAAAAATAAATGTTCAATAGTGGCATTTACAGAAAGAAAAAAAAATTGACAAATTTTTTTTGTTCTAAATTCCCTCCCTTGCTGACTTATGGATAAATTGTTCATTTTAAAAATAATAATGAAAAAACTCTCATACGTTGTTTCAGGGAGGAATTCATTATAATCAAGGAAATAACTTGGGAAAAAAAGTATTGTTCAGCAACAGAGTTTATAAAACTAATGCTTTCTGTACACCTAAAGACTTTGAAAAGATTTAGAAAAGACTTTATAAGATTATCAGCTCACATCTAAAGACTTGGGTTCACAGTTTTTAGTCTCAGACTAAAGATTTTACAAACACTGAATCTTGTAGTGACACTATTTACAGGACTACAACTAGATTATTTTAGCTTTTTAGTCCCACCAAATTCCTCCCATCATGCTCAGCAGTGATTTAACAAAAATGGAGGAGAAGCAGCTACAGTTAGCTACTGTATCACATTATGTTGTATGATCCAAAATATTTCTGAAGGTAGGCCTACAGTGGTGGTGGTATATAAGATAAGATAGACCTTACATTCCCACAATGGGGAAATTCTCAGTGTTGCAGCAGCACAGTCATAGTTAAAAAAAAAATAAATAAAAAAATTTATAATAATAATGTAAACAATATATACAATAAATAAACAGTGCAGTGATGGCTGCTCAGTGCAGTGATGGTGTTCTGCAGGGGGTGGGAGTCACTGTCCAAATTATGTGATTATCATCATTAAATAATAATAAAAATAATAATAAATTATCATTATTATTAAATTATATAAAGGCAACCATACAGTCATGTGAAAAAAGTATGACACCATGAAAGCCTGTCTATTTTTCAACATACGGACATGTAATAACAATTTTAACAATACTGAAAGACCCAGTGATTTAACTAAACAATTTAAAAATAAGGAAGGCCTTTTTAAGACTCTCTGTGAAATGTAATTTTAAAAGAATGCAATTTTTGAGGAGGAATAAACTAGGACACCCCCCATATATTTCCCCCACACTCCTTATGAGTGTGGAAAAGGATTTAAAAAGATATCAAAGGACTTTGACATCAGCCATTCCACCATTTTACCTCACTGAATTAATTTCAACAAAGGGGTATCACTAGTTATTAGGGGTCCTAATTTTTTCCTCTATTAAAATAGGCAAAAAAAAATGTTAATTTATATTGTTTAATTACAATAAATCACTTTCTTTTCCAGGAATGAAAAAAAAAATCTAATTAGACATTGTTATGTGAACATTTCTTAATAAAGAGTTGACTATTTAATGGGATGACAAGCTCGACAAGGCGCTCCTCTTTATCCACGGTCCATTTTCGCCTAATTGTTGCTCGTTGTGTTTCCACGTCCGTCGACATGTTTCTTTGTTGTGACTGATGGCTTCCTGTTTCCGTTGATTGTTTTACGTCACTATGACTACGCTAGGGCTTGCGATAATATCAAACATGTTTGATATGAAAGACTAGAGAAAGACTGGCATAAATCGGGTCACCGACTGCAGATTATCACCTCACATTTAACGATCGAGACGACGGGAGCGCGCCGAGACTCCAGTAAGATTCCTAAAAACGGCCGGTCTTTAGTCTGGGACTGTGAAAATCCTTTGGTGTACCCCCGGCATAACTTGCAACCTATTAAAAAAATTACGAAAGGTATATGAGTCTTGACTCTGTCTCAAATCTTAGTCTTTTGTCACAAATCTAAGCCTAGACTTGATTTGGACTTGAAGGACTTTAGACATGGCTTATGCCGGGCGTGCACCAAAGGATTTTCACAGTCCCAGACTAAAGACCGGCCGTTTTTTAGGAATCTTACTGGAGTCTCGGCGCGCTCCCGTCGTCTCGATTGTTAAATGTGAGGTGATAATCTGCAGTCGGTGACCCGATTTATGCCAGTCTTTCTCTAGTCTTTCATATCAAACATGTTTGATATTATCGCAAGCCCTAGCGTAGTCATAGTGACGTAAAACAATCAACAACCAATAAAATCGTTCTCAGAAACACGGAAACAGGAAGCCATCAGTCACAACAAAGAAACATGTCGACGGACGTGGAAACACAACGAGCGCCAATTAGGCGAAAATGGACCGTGGATAAAGAGGAGCGCCTTGTCGAGCTTGTCATCCCATTAAATAGTCAACTCTTTATTAAGAAATGTTCACATAACAATGTCTAATTAGATTTTTTTTCATTCCTGGAAAAGAAAGTGATTTATTGTAATTAAACAATATAAATTAACATTTTTTTTGCCTATTTTAATAGAGGAAAAAATTAGGACCCCTAATAACTAGTGATACCCCTTTGTTGAAATTAATTCAGTGAGGTAAAATGGTGGAATGGCTGATGTCAAAGTCCTTTGATATCTTTTTAAATCCTTTTCCACACTCATAAGGAGTGTGGGGGAAATATATGGGGGGTGTCCTAGTTTATTCCTCCTCAAAAATTGCATTCTTTTAAAATTACATTTCACAGAGAGTCTTAAAAAGGCCTTCCTTATTTTTAAATTGTTTAGTTAAATCACTGGGTCTTTCAGTATTGTTAAAATTGTTATTACATGTCCGTATGTTGAAAAATAGACAGGCTTTCATGGTGTCATACTTTTTTCACATGACTGTATGGTTGCCTTTATATAATTTAATAATAATGATAATTTATTATTATTTTTTAATGATGATAATCACATAATTTGGACAGTGACTCCCACCCCCTGCAGAACACCATCACTGCACTGAGCAGCCATCACTGCACTGTTTATTTATTGTATATATTGTTTACATTATTATTATAATTTTTTTTTTTTTTTTAACTATCCACTGTGCTGCTGCAACACTGAGAATTTCCCCATTGTGGGAATGTAAGGTCTATCTTATCTTATATACCACCACCACTGTAGGCCTACCTTCAGAAATATTTTGGATCATACAACATAATGTGATACAGTAGCTAACTGTAGCTGCTTCTCCTCCATTTTTGTTAAATCACTGCTGAGCATGATGGGAGGAATTTGGTGGGACTAAAAAGCTAAAATAATCTAGTTGTAGTCCTGTAAATAGTGTCACTACAAGATTCAGTGTTTGTAAAATCTTTAGTCTGAGACTAAAAACTGTGAACCCAAGTCTTTAGATGTGAGCTGATAATCTTATAAAGTCTTTTCTAAATCTTTTCAAAGTCTTTAGGTGTACAGAAAGCATTAGACTGCGTCAGAGACTTAAACATCTTTGCCTCCTTTTCACCCTTCTTATAGTTTTAATGAGTAGGAAATACAGCATAAAGTTCCTTAAAAGTGAAGGAATATTTCCATTCTTGGGTCAGTCAGAGTTCTTAGTCACATTCAAGAACCAAATTTGGGAGAATCGTTCATAATGTGAATGTTACTTACTCACACACAGATATTCTTAGTGAGGCCAGAGGGACAAAATTAGTCAGAGACGCTGGGAACGTGGCTACATAATGATAGAGCGTTTAGAAGAGAGAGTGGATAAGAAAAGCTTACAACACTCCACTGATTAACCTATTTTTTTGGGATGTGCAACAATGTAAAGGTTAATCCAATTTTGACTTCTGGGGACTTTATATCATGGATGTGTTTATCAGCATTAGCTTTCAAATACAAAAAGTGATGTTTTCAGCACTGCCCTCTCTAATGCTATATTTAGTTGTCTTTTTATTACATGGTGGTGTCATTAGACTATAATCATGAGTCATGAGTCATTCCATTCTCAAGTATCTTGATGGTCATGTCCTGTAGAACATTTGTATGTTGGCTTTGTAGATCTGATATTAAATCTTTAATCTTTGAGATTATAAATGAATTCTTAATAACATGCTCCATAGAATAAGTTAGAAACTTGTCTGTTTGTGAAGGTGCAGCTGCTAAAATTCACACCCTTTGGGATACATGACTTAAAGGGGTCATATAATGCCATTTTTGTACAAGCTAATATGATTCTTTAGGGTCTAAATTAAAAGTTTGTAATATACTTTAATTAAAAATTCTCATTAGTATTGTAAGAAAACACTTATTTTACTTGGTCAAAAACAGCTCTGTTTTCAGCACGCCGTTTCAGTGCATATGACTTTAAATGATAATGAGCTTTGCTCACTCCGCCCCTCTGTTCTGTGCGCACGTTTGTAACACAATAACACAATAACCATAATGCGTTGTTCAGTATAAACGTGGGATTATGAATTATATTGAGAACATCATACATAGAAAACATGCCGTAATGTACCCTAAGTGTAAACCTTAGACGCATTCATTGTGAAGCGTGCAGCTAGCGATTTGCAAAGATTAATATAAATATTAATATAAAGTTTTAATAAAACGTTACACTCTCTTCAGTTGTTCTAGAGATTCAGCAGGAACACGAATAGTTGGTGTTCGATCGTTTTTTCATGAGCATCTTCTTAGCAAATCCAGCTTTATACTGACCCTCGTTTATAAAGCAGTCTGGTGTGTGAAATGATTCGCGCAAACATGAGAGCATTGACGTTGCTCGTGGGGAATATTCCCTTCGAAAACAAACTCAGCCACTGCGTCTTCAGCGGTTCGGATTTAGGAACATTAAAATGACTGCTGTGTTTGTTATTACACCCAAGAACAGAACACCACAATCACTTAGACGCCATTCTGCTCATAGACAGTGCTCCAGCATATCAACAATGACCGCACCGGTCCGCGCAGACTATGATTGACAGCTCTCACGAGCGAGGGCGGGTCTGTGTTGAAACGCTGCTGTCAATCAACAATCGTGGGAGGGGCTTCCGACCGTGTGACGTCACACGGTCGAACGGCTCGATTTGAGGCAGGGGAAAACATATAAGGAGATTAAAACAAAAACACTGGATGGATTTTTATCATTATATGATGGTTGTGTACAGGCACTGCCAACACACATTTCAGTACAATCAACTTGTAAAAGTGCATGTACCATTATATGACCCCTTTAAGAAAAATTAGTACGGTCTCATTTGCCAGTTTTTGTATTTTGTTTACGGTTTACAGTTTACAATGACGGTTAGGTTTAGTGGTGGACCTTCATGCTTACTTTCTTTCAAAAATCACATTGTACATATTTGCTATACAAAATCACCACCTCGTAAAATACTTAATGCACAAAAGTGTACTTTTAGTCCAGATCTAATTTATCTAGTTTGTGCGTGAGAAAGGGGCATTCAGTTTATTTTGTTTCATACTAATTAGACTATTGTTTAGCTCCCAAGATTCATTTACATTTTCCTTCAGCTGATTCAGGAGATTGATTGAAATTCAGTTTTTAGTTCATACAACTGCATCCAATTCTTTAAACCTCTAATTCACCTCAGAAGAATTAAAGATTGTTTTTATATAAATAAGCAGTGTGCACTGCTGTAAGTTGTGAGTAAGAGTGACACATTGATTCATTTTCTTCTCTTGCTCCCTTTCTACCTCCGGCTCGGTCTTTGTCTCTAGTGTAGGTGAAATGCTCAACTTTCCTCAGCTAAAGGACAGATTGTTCAGTTTGTAGTTTGTGTATTTTTAATCCAACCTTATTTCAGTATTAGACGTAAAACATTATTTTAGCCTGCCATTGTTACGGATGTGCGTCTGGCAGAACAAAGTCAAATCAAGAACATTTCTATGATGTTTGTAGGTCTCAGTCTCTACACATCCATCCATTTGTTCCTCTGACCGGATGGAACGGAGTTGAAACAACGCTGCTGATTCTGTTATAGTCAGGAAATGCACTGATAACTCTATTCTCTCTGTGTTTGTGTTTAGTCTTTGACAGTATAGCTGAGGAATTCCCCCATTTTGTGTTTTTTGTTTTGTAACAATTCATGGTAAAATTAGTCATTTTCATCTGATAGCAGATAAATGTCTGTTTTATGTCCACAAGATCATAAGTATTTGATTTCTCATTAAGGATACGCTTTTCTGACATTGTTAAATGCTCAATCATGCTCAAAATGCTGATGAAATAAAATCTACACGGGTGTATGCCGTTTAACAGTTTTTGGGTTGTACCATGACTCTTAAGTACTACTGGTACTGTGACAGTACAGCTTGAAGAAAATGGCCCTATTTAACTCTCTAGCGTGGTTTACACGTTGATGTTTAAGAAGACCTGGCTTGACTAGAAGCACTAATTTGATATTAATGCTTATTTATTATTCATTTATTCTGTTTAAACCTTGCGAAACTCATATGTAGAACGTCTGTGATCCCCCTGAATGTTCGGCCTTACCTAATTATGACAGGTATCAGTTTCACTAAATCATTTACTAGCGTTGCTTGGTAACACACAGTCATTGGACACACCAAAGGCATGAGTGATTTCACACAGGCAGAGCCAGCATTGCAGTGAGTGTGCTGACCACAGATTAGACTGGCCGTCTCAGAATACACTGAATAGAGCAAAAACACTAAACCGCAGATCTAGAACTCTGAGTCAGCTCAAAATGAAGTATTGCATAACTTTGGTACTGTAATACTTATACTGATTTTTTTTTTTTTTTCAGATTTGTTCAGTCTTGGTATGGAGAACCAGTTTAAAACTAGAGTGTTGTATTTCTAAAGAGTATTGTGAAGTAAATGTAAAAGCATGTACAGTCCATTCCACTCAAAAGCTTGGGATCAGTTTTTTGGAAAGACATTTTTATTCAGTCATTAAAGACATTCTTTTTAGTACTTTTATTCAGCAACGATGCATTAAATTGATCAAAAGTGACCGTTAAGACACTTATAAGGTTAAAAAATATATATTTTTTAAATAAATGCTGTTCTTTTGAACTTTTCTATTCCTCAAAAAATCCTGGAAAAAAATCTTTGGTTACACTATTTAAATGTATCCTTGTTACAGTGTTGTTATACATTTTAAATAGTTAGTAATATTAACATCAACAACATGCCTTTACTATTGCATGTAATTATGCATAATTTACCTTTTTTATTACAGTAATTACATGTAACGACACTGTAAGATTAAGTGTTGCCAACTGTTTTATGGTTTCCACAAATGTATTAAGCAGCACAACTGTTTTCAATATTTGTAATAATAATAATAATAATAAATATTTCTTGAGCAGCAAATCATCCTATTAGAATGATTTCTGAAGGATCATGTGACACTGAAGACTGGAGTAATGATGCTAAAAAAAAATCAGCTTTGACATCACAGGAAATATTAATAGAACATTTTTAAATATAAATAATATTACAAAATATTTGTATCTTACTGAACTCAAACTTTTGAACATTATTGTATTTTATCAAGAACTGATTCAGCATGAGTTAAGATTTTTTTTAAGCTTGAGACCACTGCTAAATCTGTTAAAATCATGTTCAGCTCTGTCATGCACTCAAACTCAAGCGATGTAGCCAGTGTATATGTCACCCACCTAAACCTCTTAAGTCTAAGGGATACAATTGTTGGGATAATGATACAGTACAACTTTTACTCGTTGCCTCTCTTTCTTCTGCCATGGACTTTTTTTTTTTTTTTACTGACTTGATATTTTGGTCATGTAGAATGAGTATGCATTGATATAATGGTACCTACTGTACACTTTTCAGAGAAGGCCAAATATATTGTGGCATAATTATCAACACAATGTCACTAATGTAATTAAAAATATTGATTCTTTGCATAACAATATTAATTCAGTACTGTGATGCAAAATATTGCCATACTTTGCAATGTCTTTTTTTTTCTACAGAATGTAAAAGTAAAAGTACACTCTAAAAAAAAATGGTTCTTCAGGGGTTCTTTGCGGTGGTCATGGTGCTATATAGCACCACTACCATTTAAAGAACCTGTTAAGCCCAATTTGGTTCTTCAGCGGTTCTTCAGTGGTTCTCTGGGGTGGTTAAGGTGCTCTATGGCACCTCTAAAGGTTCTACATAGCACCATTTGACAAAGATAAGTGCTATATGGCACTTAAAGTGGTTCCCCTATGATTACAAGCCAATGAACCACTTTTAGTGCTATTTAGCACCATTTTTGTTTAGAGTGTAGTTGACCATGTTACAGGATGAAAAATATAGCAAAAAGTGACTTGTTGGAGGACTAGCAGCTGCTCCATGCCATAATTTCTCATTACAAAGTATTTTTAATTGGGTGGTCATATTTTTTCTAAGTGCACAGTGTTTGCATTTGTGGGTGCATGTGTTTAAAGCATACATGCTGTGTATGTATTTGTAAGCTGGCAAAATTGTAGCCAGAGCTCCTTCAGGTTCGCTGAAACTGACAACAGGAAACACGTCATTTGAAGCAGCAGCACTTGGAAAGTAGAAGACGAAACTGGAGTGTGTGTGGCGTGTGTTCATGTTTAAGTGTCTTTGTGACTGGGCGTATGAACCACACAGAACATTGTGCAGAAAACGTAAGACTTGGAGCAGTCCATTTTTAGCCACGAACACCCTTGATGCATAGTTTCCATGCCTGTTTACTCTCTCTTTCCATACCTTAATCCCTTCTGACCCATATTCTCTCTTCCTGACTCTGTCTCCAGTCAACCTTCAGTAAAGTGTATGTGTCTGCAACTGGAATAATGACCAATTCATAATGTGGTTTAAATGTACTTTGCTCCATCTGTATTATTATTCAAGTAGTGAAGGAATTCAGGTGAATAGAACTTGCCTAGAATGCTGATGATAAGCATAAACTGGTCGTTTATGTGAATGAAAGTTATTGAGTTTGCTTAATTTTTCTTCTTTCTACAGAAAAGGCAAAAAGCCCATCTTGATTCTCCGTACGCAGCTCTCAGTGCGGGTTCATTCCATCCTAGGTAAGAGCAGCACAATAATACGCCTTGATGAACGTGACAGATTATTTGTGCGCTCATTTCAGCGTTTGTATGTGTTTTGCTGAGGTGGCAAGTACGTCATCCCTGGCTTTCCACTCTGGCTGTTGGTTTAGTTTGTCTTGGAGAAGGAAAAAATGGCCTACGTTCTCCAGAAATGCTGAAATGATATTATCTCTGTTCGGGTTTCCCCTCAGTTGGGATCATTCCAACTATATCCTCAAATTCTTCAATGACACCTTCAGCGAGCTAGCTTCTCATTGATCTATTAAAGTAATGAATATAAGAGTGCCACACTTAAAGGGTTAGTTCACCCAAAAATGATAATTCTGTCATAATTAATTACCCTTATGTTGTTCCAAATCCGTACAACTTTAGTTCATCTTCGAAACAAAAATTAAGGTATTTTAATGAAATCTGAGATTTCTAGTCGTTAATTGACAGTCTACGTAACTACCACTTTGACGCTTCAAAAAGTTCATAAAGAGATCCTAAAATAAATATGAAGTGAGGGGTTTGGTCCAAATTTTCTCTAGAGACACAATTGCTCTAGGCTTTTATTCACATATAAACATTCATCAACACGCATCGGTTGTGGTAAACAGACGCTCAAGCATGTTCACTTGATGTTCGAGAACCAATGCGGTTCATTCTCGTGGTACGTAGCACGTTTAAGCTTCAGCAAGAGGTTTGTTCTCGCGCGTCAAGCAGGTTTGGTTGAGCTTCTGTTTGTTCACTGATCAATGTTAATATGCAAATAAAAGCCTAAATTAAATTTGTTCATCATATAAAGTGATGAAGTCTCTTCAGAAAATTTGGAGCACACTACATGACTTTTGCCCAGATTTCAGTTTGGACGAGTCAACACTAGATGCCAGATATCAGAGCCAGTCTGGGAGAAGAAATGTTGTGAAATTTTAGCTTCAGACTAGAATGGATTGTTTTCATTTGTCATGCATCTCCTCAGTTTCAGTAGTACAGCCCCAGGTGTGTACTGTTAAGTTGGAATCTAATTTCTGATGTCCAGGATGTAGTTAAAGAATTACCATTGTGAGTGTTCCCTCTCCAGTGATGCTTAGAAATTGCAGAATGAATGACAGCCAATCAATGTGACCAAACCAGAACACTCCAGTTATAATCAACATAGCTATCTGCACTGTGAGTTGGCAAGTTTCATGTGATGGTGTAAACTTTCCTTTGTTCATCTTTTTTTTTCAAGTGATTTTTTTTTTTTTTTTTTTTTTTTTTTGAGGCAGAAAATATTCGAGGCTATTAAAAAGCATTTGAGGCTTTAGGCCAGTAGCCATGGCATATAGTCACGCCCCTGCTCTTAACTATCCGACGAGCTGGATGGCGCCTTGCATGGCTGACACCGCCGTCGGTGTATGAATGAGTGAGTGAATGGGTGAATGTGAGGCAAGATGTAAAGCGCTTTGGTGGCCATTGGGTCTGTGAAAGCGCTATATAAATGCAGTCCATTTACCATTACCATTTACCCACTTTCATTAGTATTGTGTGACATAAGGTAAACAGATAGGCTCAAACATGGAAACGCCTCTCTCCCCTCTTTCTGTCTGTTTAGATTTATTTTTCTACTGTGTGTGACATTATCCTGATTTATTTTTCTACTGTGTGTGTGTGTGTGTGTGAGACACAAAGAGAGTAACATACCTCAACACAGGACAGACCGGTCCAGCCCTGCGGTTTTTGGGTCACTGTATGGTACACGCTACACAACACTCCCAACTGGCTCTGATGGTGTGCTGTGTGGTATACATTAATCTGTGGAATTGCTTTTGTGCTCATGCACAATTGATAGATTTACCAGTTTTACATGATACATTTCTATTGCTAACTGTGTTGTAATAATTGAGGTAATGCTGAGTCCTTGCTGTAGTATTCTTACATTCTGCTAAGAACCAATCATATGCATAGACAGAGTATCCTGTGTTCTTATTGGCCATGTCACATGTCAGTAAAATGTTGCAATATAGCTTTGAACAGTCCAGTATGCATCTTGCGATTAAAGAGTTAGCACTCATGTTTGCATGTATGATCTGAGTTAATAAATCCTCATGATAAAATGACTTCGGCGTGCACCTAGAGTTTCCTTGAATACCTCATCATATTAAAAGCAAAAGCATTACACTTGCAGCTTGTAATTGTGTTATCAGGAATGTCATGTGGAATGTTTAGGAATTTAGGTAGGGGGGAGACAGCCTTTATCTCCCTCTGTTTTCCTGTTGGTTTAGAAATAAGCTGATGCTGCATCCTGCATAGTCATATTTGAATCATGAAATACTTCCCTCTAAAGAGGAATTCAAATGTTTTAAGTGGAAAGAAAGAAACAAAGAAATAGCACTTTGCACAGGTTCTCACAAAACAATGTAATTCATCATATCCTGTACTCAATCAAGTTTTTTTTTTTTTTTTTTGCTGTCTGCTAGTAAAAGTTCAAAGCTTTTCTCAGAACCCTCAGCTTGTAGGTCTTTGCCATATTTAAACTTTCTCCAACTGGATAAATTAGAATATCATATTATTGTATGCTGTACACATCAAGATTTGTAATGTTTAAAGATGGAAGGGATTCAGTTTTGAGCTGGAGAGTAGCCTACTATAATGGTCACATTTACAGTTTGCGCACTTTTGTACAAAACAAAAAAAAATTAATCTGCAATAGCTTTGGGGTCAGTGGTTCTCAATTTCAAAAAAAAAAAAAAAAAAAAAAACGGGACAAACTTTTAAGGTGGCTTAAAGATTAATTACGATGATTTAAAATGGGACTAAATGAACATTTTAAAATTTAGCCAAAACAACTAAAAAATAAAGATATTTCTCAATTTAAATCACCATCTCAACAATTTTTTTTTTTTTTTTTTTTTTTTGAAAGATCTAATTCCCACTGTATTGAAATACCTGGATATTTAAGTGTGATATCTAGACCTCAGAAAGTCATGTAAATGAAGTCTTATAACGCAATGGGCATTTTATATTGATTATATATTTTTTTCAGTTGTGCCATCTTTAAAATATTTTATCGAGTAGAAGTTGTGAGTAAATAGTATTTAAAAATATATTATAAATGTATTCTTAATCCTTATCAATCATGAAAAAAAAAAAGGAAAAGTCCTATGACTTTATAAAGTCATATAAGTCAAATATAGCCTTATTGCTGTGCATAATGGGGGTAAAAAAAAAAAAGGTTGGTGCTTTGGATTTCTGAAAATGGCCCTTTTTGGATTTCTGGTTTCAGACAAAATATGCAGATATATTATGTAATACATGCAGTTTGTTTAGTGCTTGATTAAACTGCATGTGTAATATTGAAGCAACAATACATTGCCAAATAATAGATTGTGATGTCCATCCAAATAAAAACAACAGCTTCATGTGCTTTACTTTTAATTTAATTCAAATCGTTCAGAATAATCACTTTTGATAAAGCTCCTGTATAGGCGTAAGCTCAGAAAAGGCTGTGGTGTTTTTTTAAGTGTTTCCCAAGTAATTGTCTGTAGGAGCAACAGTGTCATTTAAATTGGGCAACAGGAAATGCCATTCTGCAGATAGGTCATCCCTAAGGCCTCAGGCTCCTATTTCTTACTCTGTTTGTGTGAGGCTGGTCAGCAGCACATACTGTTCAAATTTTAGCAAAGCCAACCATACGTCTGTCATTAGCATTCATTCTCTAACACCTCTACAGGCCCCTCTCCCTTGCACAGACACGTGAACATGACCCACAGGTCATGTTCATATTCAAGTAAACATTTTATTTAATCACTTCAAGTGCTGTTTCAAACCTTGACATGTACTACATTGTGCCAAAACAGGACAGCTGTGTTAAGGAAGAAAAGACTATTTCAACTTCAGTTTCATGCCGACTTTAAGTAAACTGCTGCCACCCCGCGCACTCTTAACCCACTTATATACCTCTAAAATCTCTTCTTGTGTGAGCTGGAGAGAGTTAAATATTTAAGCTGTAGATGGAAGAAGCACAGTGACTTCTGGATCTAACTAAACTGTTGTTGGCTGATCTGCTTCAAATCCCTGTGTCTCCATACTGCAGGCTGCCCACAGTCATGGGAAACCTGGAATTATCAGGGACATCCCAGGCCTGGAAAGGTCATGGAAATTAGTTAAATCTTTATGGAATTGACTCTTTTTTTAAATGGATATATCTTTTTAGTGCATGTAAAAAGAGTAGTGAACTCAAAGTCAGTGGGGTCAATTTTTGAGCTGAACGCAATGGATATTAAATGGTTGAAACATTCTTTAAAATAGCTTTAAAGAATGAGGATGAATAAAAAGGTGTGGGAAGGGAACCCTGTGATATCAAAGGCAAACTGTAAGCCAGTCTCTGATTTCTGCATGTCAGCTCCACTTGTTCAGACTTGTTGGCTCTCATATTGTGTGCTCTGAAAGAAAAGGTTATAATCTGGAGCTCTTATAAGTTTCATTGACATCTATTCCAAATGTCCTTTCCATTGAACTGACTTCACTGTAGCAGTTCATAAATGGATATATTTACTTTTTTTCCAAGACTATGTAGTTACAATTGGTGGTGGTGGTAAATTGAAATATTATCCACCCCAGACTCTTACACCCCCACCTCCTCAATTGCTCTGAGCTGGTTTTCTAAGCATGGCTGGCTGGCAATTGTTTGGTCCACCGGGATATGAGGGTGGTTTAGCTGGACCCGCATGCATCCTTTTGGAGTTTATAAAATGTGTCTGTGTAGAGATACAATGCTGAATGCCTGCAAGTACTCCATGTTCCAGATTAAATTTGTATTTTTCCTTTCAGGCTAATCAGAAGCTAATGTGCCAACACATGTACTGTGGGTTACCTAAGTCTGCAAAACCCTGGAACATTTTTCCATGATACTGCAAATCCAATTTTAGCTCACCATCTCTTTTTCCCCCCTCTGTGCCCAAGTCGTTTATGACCATTAAAGCTTGATCTCTCTGTGACTTTTTTTTTTGCCTTGT